TCCCCTCGTACGTTCCGGAATTGGAGCTTGCGGTCACGCAGTGCTCGTCCCAATCCCGCAAGGACGGCGCAGGGCTTTTGGCAAAGACCATCGAGCTCCACGGCGAAAGCTATATTCAATATATAGAGCTCTGATACTCTAGATAATCAGTCACAGTATTCCTTTGACGTCCCGAATTGAGTAGCTAATAGCTGTATTCGTGTCTGTGTTTGTATCCCTAGCTGCATCTGTCCGTATCTGTTTCTAAGACTGCGTGAATTAAAGATTAGACCTTTCAATTTCTAGGTGATGCAGCTTCGCGGGATGCTGATAATAATTATACGTGCACAGGGAGAGGTGATGCGAACGCATAACCAAACGTGTTTGAAGTTGAAGAAGCTCACCAGAAATCCGGGCCTGCCATCCCTAGACCCCCATAGTAGGGATTATCTTATAGGGATCTATACAGTATATGAACACAAAAAGGAATGACCTTTGGGGCCTATGGGTGAATACTTTCCTTTGCAGTTTTCATGGCCCGGGCAGTCCCTTATTGGAATAATTCGGTGGCGTTAGGGTCTAGGGGTTTTGGGTTTGATTTGGGATTTAGGGTTTAGGGTCAAAATATGTAGCTCAAGACCCCGAACCCTAAACCCTTAAACCCTAAACCCTTTCAATTCAGAAATCCGAGCCCCAGACTCCAGAAACTCCAAAATGCCTTTATGAAGCGAATCTCTTTCCTAGTCTAAGGAAGGCTGGTTGGGAGCTTAGGGTTCCTTTAAAGGGATCTATAAGGGGTGCTTTAAAAGGGATCTATAAGGGGTGCTTTAAAAGGGATCTATAAGGGGTGCTTTAAAAGGGATCTATCAGGGGTGCTTTAAAAGGGATCTATAAGGGGTGCTTTAAAAGGGATCTATAAGGGGTGCTTTAAAAGAGATCTATAAGGGGGCGGTTAAAGGGTTATCTTGTCTAAGAACTTGTGAAGTCGCTTGCTTCCAACTCTCACCTGTGACCCTGAAACCAGTCCTACACTTGCCCAGAGACTCCAATATCCCTTATTTAAGGAATACCTCAGGGTTCCCTTAAAGGCATGTATAGAGTTTAGGGTTTCGGGAAGTCTAATATCCCTTAATTATGGAATATACCTTAAATCTTATCAGGGATCCTACCACAAACTTAAGGTATATTCCTTAATTAGGTGATATTGGAGTCTCTGGGTGCTTAGGCACTACACCTTCGCGGACGGCGAGGACAGCGCCTTAAGGATCAGGCGACTCTTACAATAGTGGCCCGAGAGTTGGAAATCCTCTAGCCTCAATCCGTAAGAGTGATGTTTAGGGAATCCCGGCACTTATTGTGGTTTACTGTAGTAGGTCACAAAGCAAGTGCTAGAAATTGGATGAGCTTAAATCCTAAACCCTACATCTCGAAGTCCTAAACCCTTAAAGATTCAAATTCTACCCCCTAACGCCAACCATCCCGGCGGACGACCTCGAGGCCTGGATGGTGGCAAATTTGGCCGGCCTTCAGGATGAGACGTCGGATTCAGCCGACGAGCCTTTGCCTCCGGCGAGGGAAAACATCTCCCTTTTCCAGAATGGACCCTGGGACTCGCCGATGGGTGGACCCCGAAGCCGGACAAGGAGCCCACAGAGCAGGACATTGCCGGGGACAAGCTCCGGGCCCTGGAGAAAACAGCCCATCGAAGAAGGAGCTGTCGATGCCTCCGAGGCATTGGCGAAAAAGGCCCTTGTCCCCGAAGCAGTCAGTCTCCAACATGGCGATGCTATCCTCGTCGACCCTGGCCAAGAACTTGGAGGGGACCAACCAAGGGCGGGGACTTCTTGCTGCGATGAAGCGCACCCTCGCCCCGCAGGAGATGACCTTTGACAACGACGAGAAGCAGCGTAGAGAGGAGAACCGGAAGAGACAGGCGGAGCAGCTCCAGGAGCACCTGGTGTACACTCCGGTTGTCCAGCCCCCCAACCTCTGGAGCCCAGACCTGGTTAACCTCATTGAGGAGCACGCCAAGGGGTTTTGCTCATGCCCAGCATTACTACTTGAAGGACCAGCAAGGCTTGTTTAGATATATGTTCAGGGTTTATGGTTTAGGGTTCAGGATGTGGGGTTCAGGGTTTAGGCTTCTTTGTGCCTGCTTCAAGGAACAGTTTTTCAGCCTGGAAGGGTTTGTGGCTCAGATGCCACAGGAGGTTTTCTGAATGCGGTTTAGGACCCCATACTCCTTAGGGTGGTTCGGTTCTTGCCGTGAGTGCTAATGCATGAACGGATTGACTGAGTTATGGGAAGCATTGCAGTGGGTATCCAAAAAGCAGCAGTGTAGAAACTCATATCCGCAACCTTCCTGACAAGACCTGGTGCTTGGTCAAGGTTCAGGTTTTGGGGGTGACTAACTCCTAAACCCGAAGCCCTGCCTGAGTCCCCAACAAGGCGATATAATTCCCTTATTACTGGACCCTTGTAGTAGTGTAGCCTGAAACCCTGAGGCAGACATCCAGAGATGCCCCTGACCCACTTAAACCGTACCGATTGTCTCCGTTGTAGTTGCTCTTCGGGGTTACCTTATAGGATCCTAGAAAACATTTGTGAAACCCTATAACCCCAAACCCTTAAGCCTAAACCCTAAACCTTAAGCCCCTAAACACCTAAATCCTGAGCCCCTTAAGCCGTAGAGTCCACAGCAGAGGACTCGGTCTCCTTCAGCGTACATCTGGACAAGGATTGAACTGGTCGGGGAAGACTTAGGGGTACTTAGAAATAGTTGTTAATTTTTGGTTATTATAATCCATAAGAAGCAGCTAGAATTATATTTGTTGCTAGGGTTCTAAGTTCAGTATAGAAGAGGCTCGTGAATATACCTTTGAGGGTTTCTTAGAGGGATCTATAAGGGCTCTACAAGGGAATTAGGGAATAGACCTGAAGGACAAGGATTGGCCTGGTCCGGGTGTTTAGGTTTGGGGTTAAGACGGGTTTACGGTTTAGAGTTTAGGGTTAACGATTAGGGTTAGGACGGGTTTAGAGTTTGGAGTTTTGGGTTTAAGGGTGTAGGATTTTGGATTTGGGGCTATACAGGGCGTGAAGTCTCAAAGCCTGAGATACATAAGACTGTCAAGGAATGCACCGCCAGATCGTGAAGCCCAAGCAGCCCTCAAACCACTAGGGTGTAGAGTTTAGATTTTTTGCACTCCCCTCAGAAGTAGGTAGCTGCTAAGTGCTATGGCCCGTTTCTTGTGTTTCCTGTGCAGATTGTGCAACCATATTTCGATCTCTGGGGTCTGTGGGCTGTTGTTTGTAAAGTTGTTGAAATCAGGACGAACACGAATACAACCTCAATCAATTATGTGAACTGTTTCCTAAATCTGTTGAAGCTCGCACCTATACTGTTCTAAAATGTGCGAACAGTTGCTAGCGTTAAAATTTCAGTTTCAGCTGTTATTGCCAATACGAGTACGAGTGTTTTCAAGCTGCCCAAGGCCTCAACATGTTGTTCGTTCGGCGCTCGAGGGGCCAGACTACAGAATGATGCGGTTCTGCAATTTGGTATGACGAGGTGTGGAGCATTGTGGCATGACGTTTCGGGTTTAGGGAGTTTCCGGTGTCTGTTCCAGCGGATGGTCTTGAGGTGCTGTTAGCATTTATGATAAAGCCGAAGGCTGACAGGCCCCACAACATCGAGCATCTCTATCCACCATGGCAGTCAGTAGGAACACCGTAAGTAAATGCCTCTGGTAGTCAGAAGTCTTGTTCATGTTTGGATGTATCAACAAGGGCGCACGCACAGAAACGGCAATCAGCCAGCAGTCAACACTTCTTTCGAGATGTGAAAGACACAGCTGCGCAGAATATACACTGCACTTCAGAAATAGCTCAGAAGCAGACACTGGTAACCCTAAACCCTAAACCCTTTCTACTATAGATTACTATAGATCCCTTTAAGGAACCCTTATAGATCCCTTTAAACCCGAAACCACTAAAGCCATGGCAAATCGGGCGGCGAGCCTTCTTTTGGTGCTGCTGGCCTTCAGAAGCATCTGTTGGCCGGGGGGCCTGGCCTGCAGAGTTTGGGAGCAATGCTTTAGAAGCTGCCCTAGGGTTTAGGGTTTTAGGGTTTTAGTGTTTTAGGGTTTTAGGGTTTTAGGGTTTAGGGTTTAGGGGTTTACGTAATAGTGACTATAAGGATTATATTAACGCCCTATTATATTCCTATTATACCACTATTACAGGGTGGGGGCAGCTTCTAAGCAATGCCTTTGCTGTGATTGCGATTGTTGCTGTGAGCAGATTCACACAAACACACTCTCTCTTTCTCTGTATCTCTCTCTCTCTCTCTCTTTATTTCTTTCTTTCTTTCTTTCTTTCTTTCTTTCTCTCTCTCTCTCTCTCTCTGTCTCTCTCTTCCGGCACGTCTTTAGTGTACCATGCTACACATCTGTTATCATACTGCTACAAATTGATTCCCAAGTCCGACTCCACAAAGCCAAAGTTCGAGACCACAAACCCACCGGTTCCCAAGCACGAGTCCTGAGCCCCTCGCCACACTGAAAGCCAGTGAAACCTGAATCCCAACATCCCATACTCAAGCCTTTGGGACCCATAGCCAAGCGCAGCTCTATGTCCGTCTTGCGACGCATCCCCAAGCATCCTTATTATCCTGCAAATGCTTAAAGCAGCAGGAAGAGCCTCCGAAACCTAAACTCGCGAACCCACCAAACGCCAAGCTAAACCCGAGCCCATGGACGCTATGAATCTCTACCCCTGTTGTCGACCCTTTCTTTTCGAGGCTGTGCTTTGGGGATGTTGAACTCGTATAGCACCCTTCATAAAGAACCCTGCAGCTGCTTCTGGATGCCCATATAAACCCTTAATTGAACCCTGAAACCTGAGAACCCTGACAACAATAAGCCACCACCCTGTAGCTTTAAACCAGCCCGTAAACTTTAACTACAGACCCCCTAAACCCTACACCCACCTACGAGTCCTTAAACCCAAGAAAATCAAGAAAGGCCTTGCTTCACTGGTCTCCGACCCGAAAGACGAGCAGCCAACAACTCTATGCGGCGGTTCAGCAACGCCGCGGCCGGGGCCGTCATCATGTACATCTAAAAAGGTTTTAGGGCGTAGGCTTATCAAAAGGGTTCTATATAAGGGTGTTTCTAAGCGTAAAGCAGTGTTTCTGAGGTTGTTGTATACTTGGCTTCTGTCTTTGCAATTTACGGGCATGCTGACGGTAGAGATCCTGTTCTTTGGGGTGTCTCCTGGGGTCCATGGCGTTGGCAAATTGCCCTTTACACCCTCTCTAAATCTCAAACTCTTTCAAGCCGTGCAGCACCTCCCTCAACCCAAGTTGCAGGGTGTTGCATCAGAAAAGGTGCCTTCGGATTTGTTGAAGTGCGGACGGGGCCTGCTTTGTACGGTTATCCTTTTTTCCAGACTCTCAGACCCTGCACCATTCAATCCTGCAGCCTGAGACCTGGACCTAAACCCGACAACTGCAAATCCGTACCCCGGAACCCACAAACGCAGCTTGAAAGCTCAAGCTTCTAGACCCCAACACCTCAATTCCAAAACCCACAAACACTCAAAACCTGAGACCCGAAACCTAACGTAGTGCTTTAATAAATGGGGTAAAGTTTTTGGTCTAGGCTTTGGGGTTTCGGGCACACTGTCAGCTGCAGCATTCATGAATCTGTGCCACAGGCACGTGATTTCGCACCATGTCCGGGCAACAGTTATATACGAATCACCCAGCTAGTTGAGTTTAGGTGTAACCCTAAACCTGTCTACTATACGCCCTAACCACCGCTACCGCCACCGCCATCCCACTCTCAGGCCCATAGCCACCCCCGCCTCCCACCACCTGCACCACGACCACCCGCACCTCCTACATGTCGAGGGTCGTTGTAAAAATGAAAAGGTTTGCCTATTTTGGCTGGGCTTTGGAGTACCATACTTTAATACTTTTTTCCTTAAAGGAACCATTATAAGATAAAAGTATCGACTTTCTTCTCCATGGTTACTTACAAGCCCAGTTGGTGTCATTATCAGACTGCTCCTGGTTCCAGCAATGGCGAATCGCACTCGGAATTCGAAGCAAGCGGGTAGGTTGGCAATAGAGGTAACAGTGGGATAGCCCCAGGTAGAGTCCCCATAACCCGTATGCAGAAACCCCAAGACTAAGTCCGCTATTGGACATTGCCCAAAAGCCCTGGAAACCTGAAGCCCCCCACAAGGCCGGATTCTTGTCATGATGAGTGCTTTTCTGGTGCTGCTGCTGCTGCTGCTGCTGCTGCTGCTGCTGCTGCTGCTGCTGCTGCTGCTGCTGCTGGTAGTCTCACCCTAAGTCTTACTAACTATTTTCAACGACCTCTCTAAGCTTCCCTATTCTAAATATGAACCACAAAAACGAACTACTATGGGGCCTTACGGTAAGGCCTGAAAGCTTTAACGAGCTCTCGAAGCTTCGAGAGGCAGAGTGGATGGAGGCAAACGGCTACGAGGTGAAATCGAAGCAGGGTCGAGGAGGCGCTTGACTTGTTTAACGTGTCGTGGCTAGAGTTTAGAGATTTCCGGCTTGGCTTAGGGCTTATCCTAGGCCTAAACTTAGTAGCTGGGTTTATAAACGTTGAACTTTTTGGGAGAATTGCACCCTCTTATGCTAAACTGAAAGTTTGAATTGTTTAGGGGTTACAAACTCGGCAGCTAAGTAAAAGCCTAGTGCGGAAGGGCCGCTAGCCGCTAGCATTTCATAAGGCTTTTCGTTTTGCAAAGACAGCATGTTGTGACGTCGTTTCAATGCTGCCTTGCTTACATAAGCTGCACAGCTAGACGAGTTTGTGATGGAGCCTACATCGTTCACGAGTTGCAACCTGCTATCTTTTACTCCTCATGATCTCTTGCGTTGACCTGTGAACAACGCAAAGCCTAGAATAATACCCTAGCACACATCCGCCTCGGCCGGCGGGGAGGACAGCGGATCAGAGCTGGACATTGCAAGGCAACCAGAAATTAAGCCGTGTGGATCCCACAACCTAAACCCTCAATCCTAAGCCCTCAATCCTAAACTTTCAGCCCCACAGCAAGCAGAAGGCCACCCACAACACCTGTCCGTTGGATAAGATATTTGAGGTTTTGGGAGTTTAGGGTTTAGGGTCGGCTTTGTCTGCAACTTAAAGGCAAAAGGCATCGCCTCCGACAAAGGTCGAAAGCCCGAAACCCTGTAACACCAGAGCAAATATTTCAGAAGCCCGACGCAGCCGCTGTTTAACCCGATGCAGCCCGAATAACAAACCCAAAACCCTAAACCCCAAAGCCCATACAATCCTGCACAAGCCCTAAACCCAACCCCTAAACCCTAAACCCTTAAACTGTAAACTAAACCCCTAAACCCAAAACCCTAAACCATACAACAACCATACAACCCCTGCCGCGGTGCAAGGGAGCAGTTGGGCTTCCTTCCAGACCCTGGAGACGGACAAGGCTTGCTTCTTGAGTAGTGCCCTTAGAGGGTCCTATAAAGGGTCCCTTGAAGGGTTCCGTAAAGGGTTCTATAAGGGCTCCGTAGATATTTAGGGCTTAAAGGTTACCGTTTTGCCCTTGTTCTTCTTTGGAGTCTTTTTGGGGTCCCCTTATTCAAGCCGAAGAATAGGAAAAAGGCTGCCTTGTCAGAAAGGTCCTACCCAGGAACCTAGTCTCGCATGTATGATGTCTCAACGCAAAACCCTTAAAGGAGCCCTTGAAGCGACCCTGATGTCTCAACCCTAAACCCGTAAGGAGGCCTTAGAGGAAGAAACGGAGCCCTCACGCGTTTCAGGTATAGGGGCTCGAGGTTTAGGGTCCCGGAACCCTACGAAAGTAAACCCTAGCATCCAGGGTTTACCCATAGGCCCCAAAGTAGTTCCTTTTTGGGGATTACCATATAGGATTCCAAATACGAAGCCCCAAAAAAGAATTACTTTGGGGCCTTAGGGTCGGGCCTATGCATCAGATGCTTGGGGATACAGCGGCAGCAGGTCTTTGTTCGCGCATGTACTTAGGGACCCTTAAACCCCCGACCGCAAATGTCTTAAAGCCCTAACAAACCCTACGAAATAGTCGGCGATGTCCCCATAACTATAGGGCATACTATTCCTTAGGGTTCCTATTCTGTCAAGAGTAGTTATAAAATTCCCGAAACCCTACTCGATGTCGCGGAGGCATATTAGATCATGGTTCAGGGGCCCGGGATTTAGCGCACATCGCGATTTCCGGAACCGGTGGAGGAAGGTTCCAGGGTTTACCTGAAGGATCATGGGTTTTGAGATTCAGGCATTCGGGTTCAGGGGTGAGTAGCAAGAAGTGTGGCTATGATTATGAATATTGTGTTTCTGGGCATGGTTGCAAGCTTGATGATCGCCCTTCTTCTCAAGTCCTGGGTATGGTTGCAAGCTTGATGATCGCCCTACTTCTCAAGTCCTGATCCTTCAAGTACGGCGAGACTCTGCATCCTAAGCCATACCATTTGTGCGTATTCAGTTCTCAGCATTTCAGGGCTTTGTACGACTGTACGACCCGATCTGATGAGTCTTTGCAATATGGCAGCTACCAATGCAAATAAAGTTCCAAAGCCCACATTCCTGGACCTCAAGGCATGCATTCGTAAACCCTGCACACAACACTAAAACACACAACACTCACACTAACAAACACACACACACACACCAAAGAATGCCCTTCTCTCCGCAACACAGGGCGACTTCTTCGTGAAGACCTCCAACCGTCCGGCAGAGAAAATGTTTAAAGGCCTGAAATCGATCTAGTTGTTCTAGGGGGCTGGTACGACGATTTGTAAGAGGATATTCAGCGCTGCCCCAACAGCCCTTGCACATCCCTCTATAGAAATGTTAAACCCTAAATCGTAAACCAAAAATCGGACTCGAATATTTTTTTAGGGCGCCACACGTTTATTTCAGAGGTCGGAAGAATTAGCAAGAGCCTTGCAGTTTTTTCCGTGTGCACACATATACGTATTCATGTATATGTATTTACTTTTCTGTTCAAAGCACAAACAGTATACATCCGCGGGCCGAAAGTTTCGAGCTACATGTGTGTCAGCTAACATACAGGCTCTTGCGGAGTACCGGCGTGCCTCAAAGCGTCGTTTATCTACGCTCCGCGGGCTAGCAGAGTAGTTTCTACCCTGTTTTCTCAGACTTTTTGGTTCCGGAGGAGGCCCCAGGGCACGCTTGTGTTAGGAGTCTGGGGAAGAGGGTGGGGGTTCATGTGCTGTGGCATGTTCAAGCTAGTGGGTCGAACTATCGGCCAGGCGCAGTATCCGTAGTATAAGATACCCGCAGTCGCTATTCCAACTATCACGGCCCCCAATATTGATGTGGGACTTTCCGAAATTTGGGGGTCCTTATAATACGGATCCTGCTATTTAGGGTATTATGTTAGGGGCCAGGGTTTAGAGTCTGGCATTTTGGTAGATCCCAAATTACTATGGTAATTTAAAATTTAAACAAACCCGGAACCCCTTAACAAGAACCCCGGAATCTGGGCCCAGAGCTTCAGGCCAACACCTTTTTTCAGACCGGTGGCCTCAAGCCCTAAAGCCCCAAACAACCCAAAACGACAACTGCTTGAAACCCCGAAACCTTAGGCCAGGCAGCGTACCCTGAGGGTCCAAGTACCTAATACCCATAGGCACCAAAGTAGTTCCTTTTTGTGGTTCATACATAGAATCCTATAAGGTAATCCCCCAAAGGAACTACTATGGGGCCTATGGGTAATCATATACTTTCCCAAATAGTAGCCTACCTAACTACTATCCGAAACCTAAGTAGCCCATTATCAGGTCCTTTGGATCCATCCTGGGTACTATCAAACTGTTTCGACACTTGCCATCTTAGAGCCTGAGCAGGTGAAGCCTTAGGCTTAGATGCCCTGCGTGCTGCAGGCTGGCGTATGTTTAGCGTTTCCTTAGAGCTTCTTTCTTTAAGGGTCGCTATACCCTAAGGCCCCATAGTAGTCCCTTTTTGGGGTTCATGTTTAGAATCCTATAAGGTAATCCCAAAAAGGAACTACTATGGAGCCTATGGGTAGGGGCTTTTCTTTTCGGGATTAGGGTTCGGGGCTTCCGGATTTAGCGGTTTATGGTGTCGGGGCTCTGCGACTTAGAACTGTGTAGCCCTAAGGGTCCATGTACCCAAATAGTATATACCTTGGCCTTACAGTACTCCCTATATGAGTACATTGGGTCCAAAGTATATACTATCGTACGGCTTTGGGCTTGGATGGTTCGAGGTCTTATGGTGTTCTTTTCGGGCTTTGGGTTTTTGGTCCAGGTTTGGGCGTCCTTCTCGGACACAGGGCTTTGGAAACGGATTTTGGGGACATAGACCCGCCCAAAACCCTCGAGGGTTTGGGACTCTGTGGGTGTTATTGGTTCTTCCTGTTTAACCCTATCATGGTTTAGTTACTTCAGGGATGGAGAAGGAGTGTGTTGGGGGGTCTCTCTGAAGTTTCGAGAGCTGAGTAGGAAGCTGGAGGCTTTAGTTGTTCTTTGTCTTTTAACGGGGGCGGGTCTACGCAGATTGGCTCGAGATTGATGTCACATCAGCGTGGAGTCTTGTTCTAGCGAACTCTGTTACGATGTGTATTCTAAGTACTTTGACTGTGGTCGGAATACCCTGTAGATCAAAATAGCCAAAAAGCCTTATATAGTATGGTTTTTGGGCCCAACAGCCTTAATATTTGACTCCTTAGAGCCCTACGGTCGATGATATACATCCTGCATGACCCGTAACCATAATTCCCATAGTTTAGGGTCCTTAAGGTAATGCAGGATTTCTATCATCAACAGTAGGGATATACACAAATCTAGACCCAACCCCACGAGAACAGTGTCCCAACAAAGAACGGACGGAGCGGTCAAGGTCCCGTTTTTAAGGAGTTCCTACGCAGAAATCCCAATACCCCTTAGTTAAGGAATATACCTTAAATCATAATACCCCTATTATTTAAGGTATTCCTTAATTAAGGGGTATTGGGTTCTCCGGGTACAAAGGCACTCGGGCCCCGTTTAGGCGGCGAGGCCTGTATGAAAGAATGAAAAGAAGAGTCGTGTAGGGACATCAGAGTTTGTAAGCAACTAGAAAGTGCTTCATGCTTGGGGTCTAGGCCTCAGCGTTCGCACTTTGGAATTATTACTCAAGGTTTAAAGCCACGGCCTGGCGACTATCAGATGCCACCAAACGGCCAGGCGGTGTCTGCGTTCCCAAAGTCATCCACTACGGTGACGACGGCAAAGGCCCCATTGGGAATGGAGCTTGACAAAGAGGTTACAAAACACCAGACATCACAAACTGTGTCCTCCGCAGTCGCCATATACATGTATGTAAAGCATAGCCCTGTTGTAATCATTAAAGTCCTCCAGGTTGTATCCGCAGCAGTGTGATACTCCAATAGCATTCCACCAGCATTGCATGAGCCTCAAGCTTCCCAACCGCTGAAGCACCGGGTCCTTCTTTGGTCTGAGCATGCCGGCAAAGCTTAAACGTTTGCTTGCACTGGGTGTTCGGCATTCGGTGCTTGTCTTCTCTTCTATACTATATCTAGAAAACAATGGACAAGTTTGTAGGATCCTAAGACGCTGTACGGATCCACCAACAAGCTACCCCTCGCGGTCTGAGACACTTTAAACATTCCCCGCATACACGAAACACTATAAAGATGAAACTATTACTTTAGGTGCCTGAATACTTACCAATACTTTTTTTTTTTTTTTTGGGGGGGGGTTCCTTATTAAATGTAGTTATAGTATAATATGCCCCCCAAACCCTGTTCTAATTATTAAGGGCCCTATATTATAGAACCCCGATGAGACTTTGGGGGCTCGTGGGTTTAGGAAGGTTTCGGGCCGTGTCGGGTCTTGGATTTAGGCCCCAAGGCTTTCTAGGGTTTAATGGTTTAGGACTTGGGCTGTCGATTCATGCAGCATACCTCGTTTGTGGGAAGGAGGTTCCTACATCATCATGCAGAAGCTTTCCATGGGTGGCCGACCCAACATGAAAGAGTTCGGCAAGGCTTTGGCAAAGTGCCTTTTCTGCACGCATGTTTATGTAGTACGGTGACTCTGATGCTGCTTGCTAGGATGTTTACACATCGATGTCCTGTCAGCACATCTCATTATTGAACTGTTGCCTTAATGCCCATTGCAAGAAAGCAAATGTTCTCCTTTTTCGCATGGCCGTCATCAGCAACATCATCATCATCATCATCATCATTATCATCATCATCCTCATCGTCATGGTCATCAGCGTCATCACCCGCATCATCGTCATCATCATCAGCATCATCATCGTCATCCTCATTCTCAGCAGCTGCACCATCGCTACCACGGAGGCACTGCTATCGCTGGTATGATGCGGTCGCATTCTATGCATTCAGCTGTACAACAAGCAGCCGCAGTGTCCCAAATGTTTGGCCGTGGCTGTGGTTGGCCTTGTTCTTGGCAACCAAGGTGGTGCCTCTGATGATGCTGATGCTGCTGGTGTCGCTTCTGTGTTTGTTCTAGCCTGGTGCTCTTTCTGCACCACTGTCAACATGCCTTTGTTGATGAGGTTGAAGAAGATGATGGTGCTGAAAATGAGAAGAAGATAGTGGCGTCAATGTGGTAGCAAGCATGAGGGCGATGAGGAAGAACACGCCAAAGACCAGACTTACCATGACCACCGCCGCGACGACGATGACGTTGACAGTAACGGTGGTTGTGGTGATGGTCATGATGACGATGATGACGGTGCTGGTGATGATCATGGTGATGATGATTATAAGTATGAAGCGGGTGATGGCAGTGATGCTGCTAGTGTTAGTACCGATGTTGATATGCGGACAGCAACTGTGCCTGTTCGCTTCTGTGCTTCTTGCTCAGGCATTCTGTGCACATGTGTCTCCTCCTAATTAGTCTTGTGCTGCTACTCCGCCGGCTCTTCCCTCGTGATGGCCAGTGTTCGCTGTCCTGACGGGCGGCCCAAACCCTTACGTACACAGCCTGAGCCCACGTGAAAACCCTAAACCCAAACCATCCAAACCTATATAAAGGCCGAAACTGCATAGCTGCCTTAACCTATTACTAAGTAACCCTAAACCCTAAACCCTAGCACTGTAAACCTAAAGGCCTAAGCTGCATGGCCCTGAGGATGCACCTGGCCGAGCCGGCAGACCAAACCGCCAAGGAGGGCAAATTTGGCTTCGAGGTGGGGGCAGTTTGCGACAGGTCTGCACAGGTTATCGTGGGCTTTTCCTCGTGATTTACAGGATTCTGGATAACACTAACATGTGTACTATAAGGGAATAGGCTGCAGGTATGGCTTCTGTTGTGAGAATTTAAGTTTAGGCTTAAGGCTTAAGGCTCATGTTTGCTGTGACTCAGGGCTTGGGGGTGTTTAGGGGATAGGGTAACTAACGGATATGAACCGGCTTGCGGTTAAACGTGTTTCGATCGGTGTACACCTAAAGCTTCCTTTGCAAGTCCAAGGAGAGCACCCGTCAAGCCGTACAAGAGCCCTAGATACTACTTAGAGGCATTGTTTGGGACGTAGGGTCTGAGTTTTTTTGGCATACTAGGGCTCCGATTTGTCCAGGCTTTGGGTCTTAAGGCTAAGGTTTAATCGGAGGAAATGCCGTGCAGCATTTGATACTGTTGCTTGGAAACACTGAGAGCCTTTGCCATGAACAAGGCACTCTGAAACCCGCTTCATAAACGAAAATGTAGCGGCCTGAACAGTTAGAATAGGGTTTGGGGGGGTTCATTATTATAATTGTGGTATACTATACCCCCCAACCCTTGTCTAATTTTTAAGGCCCCTACAGCAAGCGCTCTGCATGACTGTCTTGTCGGTGGTATTATTTAACGAGTTCGCGGGGTTTATGTACCAAGGATCCCCATATGTGGCCCTCTTTCCCGGAGCTCGCATGTGAGCACCCGACGAGTCCTCAAGCGCAGCTAGCAGACCAGCGTCTCTTGGGACGCTTTGCAAGTGCCCCCTTCCAAATTTTTTGGAAGGGGGCACTTGCAAAGCGTCCCAAGAAAAAAGATAAAAACCTTAAACCCGCCGTCAAAACCTTACAACCATAAGGCTCTAAAGCGGAGGTGGACAACACCATCGGCGGCACCCCGCAGTCGAACACCTGGACTGGAAGAGCCTGTCTTTTCAATCAAGGTATTCCGTAGTGAAGGGTATGTGTAGGGAGTTTATGGGTTTACGAGTGTGTTGTGGATGCTAAAATCTGTGTTGAGATTCAGCAACCCTTCATACAGGGTCCTGTCACATTCATGGCTTTCTGTTTGCAGCATGGCTTCAGAACCTTGTAGTTTGGGGCGTTTACGCTTCAAGGGTTTGAGGTTTGGAGTTGGGTTTTGGCCAACTGCCTTGCGGGCTGCCCCAGCATCCAATGTCGCAGCAGCAGAGTCGTGCAAAAGAGATACAGTTGGCAGTTGGCGGCGAGATTGTGGACTGGACTCGTAGCTGGTTTCCGGCCGCCAAATTTTTAGCTCATGGAACCCTTAAAGGAACTCTTTCCGTGCCGTGTGTTGATAACTTTTTGGTCAGGGTTACGATTTGGGTTTGAGGCTCGGGCCATTTGTGATATGATGGCTTATGGTTTGAGGGTCTGTGGTAAGAGATTGGTGTTGGTTTCGGGTTTCAGTTTCAGGGTTTAGGGCTTGTTGGGTGAGGGCTAAGGGTCAGGGATTGCGCTTACGGTCTTGGGTTTATGGTAGAATGTGCATGATCTCCCGCAGATACTTATCTTTCAACCCCTGTACCTTATATGATGTGATGTGGGTTTCTTTTCGGTTGAGAAGGCATCCCGGCTTGTTCCCTCAGATAGGGACGTCTGCGTTTGAACAGTTCCCAGCCTGCAGTTGTAGGCTACGAGCAGAGTTCGAAGCTGGACACCCCGCCTTTGGGTACTTGTGAACCTTCATATGTGACCTACCTGCTTCCTCTGGCATGTCGTTTTCAGACATCGTTGTAATCCTCGAGTGAAAATGTACAAGACCTAAACTAAACCCATGGGCTTAAAACCTACGCCTTTGCAAGCCTACAGGACCAGCAACTGGGTTGACTTCGTGCGTGAGCATCGCCTCGGAGCACAGGTGTGACCGGATTTTGGGGTTTTCCGCGTCCATTACATCTACTACAGGATCCCTGACAGCATACACACATACACATACACATGTCTACATATATGTGTGTTTTTATGTACACATACATACATGCATACATACATACGTAAGCAAATACATGCATATACATACATGTACATAGCTATGTTTCTATGTATCTACAAAATACATGCACAAACGAGCCAGTAGCCTTTCTTGTAACCACACCTATCAAAACTTCAATAGAACGCAAGCCGCAAACCCTTGAACTGTTGATATCTTGAAACCTTATACAAGCTTTCATGAAATCCAGTATAGAGTATAGTGTTCCCTTACAGCCCTTATAGGACTCTAGTTGACAGGGGGGAAAAACAAGAATCCTTACAGCAACAATATGCAGAACCCTTGCAGAACTCGATCTGGGAGGGGCAAGCAAGAAGAATCTTCATAGTGACCCTTATGGAACCCTACTTGAGACAAAAAACCATTTTGATAGTAACCCCTAGAGAACCCTACATGAGACAAAAAACCTAACAAGAAGGTTCCCCAAACCCTAAATCCCAACCCTAAACCCCAAACCAAACCCTAAACCCTAAACCCTAACAAGAAAGGTGAGGATGGCCGGCAGCACCGATCTTCAACGAACCTGGAAGCAAGTCCTTGAGGCTCCAGGGAATTGATTCGGCGACATCCCGAAATTGGGATCTTTAGGGTTCCTTTAAGGGATCTTGAGGGCTCCTTTAAGGGATCTATGGCGCTTAAGGAGGTACATCCTCTAGGATGCCCAGTAGTACCCTTATTCCCTCTTTGTAGTTCTAGGTTCCTTATAAAGGTCCCCAAAACCAAAACGGAATGAAACAGCGACATCCTGAAACACTAAGGTGTATGGTTTTGGGGTGTAGGGGTTTTGGAGTTTTGGGGTTTTGGGTTGAGGGGTTAGAGACTTTTTTTATCGTGTTGGGCCGGGGGAAACGGTAACAGGGGGAGGGGGTGGGGGGTGTTAAGGATCAGCGTTTCGGTGGCTTAGCACATGCAGGGAATACTGCATAGGAGTAAAAGGGAGAGTCTACTGTCTACTGTATACGCCGTTGGTGGTGACTCAAAATTAGACAGCAACTTAATCAACACTCTTCATCCCCAAATCGCTGAATTCCAAACTCAAACGCCTAAAACCTTCAACTCCAAACCTGTAGAGCCATCCTAAACCCCAAACTCATAAGCCACCCCTAAACCCAAACCAAAAACCTCTAATCAGCCCCAAACCCCTGAACTCCTTTAGCACTAAAACCTCAAACCTGAATAAACCCCCAAGATGTACCACGAATCGGAGTTGAGTGTCTAAGTAAGTACTGCGTTTTAGGCTTAAAGCCCTCAATTCCTAAACCCTAAAGCCCTATAACCCCTAAACCCTAAACCCGGAAACCGCTAAGCCCGAAGCACAGAGAGGAGACCAACGACCTCAATGACCTTTTCACAGATGTCGAAGTGAAACCGTCGGAGCCTGAGACCGTTCCCTGGGTTCTAATTTATGGGCCTAAATAAATACCTGTACAATTTTGCGGGGTTTCTGAGCATAAGTATAGTATAATGGGCCCCAGAACCCTTTTCAATTATTAAGGCCTCTTTATTACATGGTTGCTTCGATTACTGCTACTGCTCTCCTGCTCCTCCTCCCCCTCCTTTGACAGCGACGACTACTTCTGTTGTGGTTAGCACCCAATGAGAGCCCAGCTACTTGATTCAAGAGAGCGCTTTAATGCACAAGCCCGTAGCTACTTCTTGGGAGTGGTGCCCGGTTGGTTGTTGTGCTCAACATATTTGGGAACATATTTCTCCCCAATTTGTGTTCGTTGTTTCTTGCGAGCCTGCCTGCATTCTGGATGCCTGCACCGGGGCTGGATAAGATCCCACATCATCCGGGGCAAAGCACTCGACTAGCGGAAAGCAGAACATGTTCGGCATTTTGGCAACGGGTTTGATTTGCTTTTACTTTTGTGCGCGTGCAGGTGGCCCAGCCGCTTGCTCCCCGGCCCAGATTTCCCATAACCAAGTCATCGTGAAGGAGCAGTCCCTGAACCCCCAAACCCTAAACCTTAAACCCCACACCGTGGCATGATCAATGAAAATGAAGCCTTGGAATCCGCAGGGATTGGTAAAGCCACGTAGCTGCCGTAGCATTCGGAATAGCTTCAATCGCCTTCCCCTGAATACTCATAGACCTAAAGCTGAACTTACAGAACTCAATTAATTAAGGAATATTACCGTAGGGTTCCTTAAAGGGCTCCTTAAAGGGATCTATAAGGTTCTATAAGGGAATCAAGGAATATACCTCGAATTATAGAGGCCTGAATATTATGATTTCGAGTAGATTCCTTAATTAAGGGGTATTGGGATGTCTGGGAAATCGACCAGCCCTCAGCCAAACGGTCGAAGTATTGGTTCGGGCGCTAAGAGCCTCTTAAGCCCGGAAGATCGGGATCCGTCGAGCCTTACTTTAACGGTTTAGGGTTTAGGGTTTAGAGTTTAGGGTTTAGGGTTTAGGGTTAAGGGTTTAGGGTTATGTTGATGTAACTTACATCAACATTAAACTGTCGTATTGTTTGAAGCTGCCAAAGTCCTTAACCCTTTGCGCCGAACCAGAACCACAGGGTTTAGATCAACAAGGCTTATATGAAAGGAACCCAAAATCTCATTTTTGTATGTGGTTGGCTTTATTTGTGTTTAAAAGTGTTTTTTTGTATTTAAAAGTATTGTTTTGTATTTAAAAGTTTTTTAAATAGGTTTTTTTGTGTTTTACAGTTGTTAAAATTCTTTTATTTTATTTTTGGTGTAAAAAATACATGTTTGTGAATTTTGTTTCTGAGTGAGTCAATTGGCTTCCTGTTGTTCTACCTGGTTTCCTGCTGCTGTATGTCTACAAAATTGTTGTTTATTTGTTGTTGAAGTTAATAATTTTTAAAATTTAATCTTTTTAAATAGTTTTGGGTTGTGATTGAACAAAGAAGGGAGGCCGTAGTGACATGTTGACTTGCCTTGAGATCTTGCCCTTACCCACACGGATCGACTGCCCTTCTCGGTTCGTGGGCACCGTTGGCCGGGTGTCAGGTTATGAGGCGATTGTATCTAGACCGCCTTGGGGCCAACGTGCCAGGGCAGTGGCATATGACACCCGGACAAATGGGCTAAAGTGCCGGGTGGGGCGGTTGAGGGGTTGTTCGCAGCCGTGCTTACAGCCTTGAAGGGGAGGCCATCCATGCTTGTCGTCACGTTTTGTTAGGGAGCCTTGCGACTTGGATCGACAGAGGCAGAGTGCCACCTTACCCACACGGATCGACTGCCCATCTCGGTTCGTGGACACCGTTGGCCGGGTGTCAGGTGTTGTCGATGGTACCTGGACCGCCTTGGGGCCAACGTGCCAGGGCAGTGGCATATGACACCCGGGCACATGGGCTAAAGTGCCGGGTGGGGTGGTCCAGTGGTTGTGGCTTTTTTATTTTTCTCCCAACCAGGAGGGGAGGCCATCCATGCTTGTCACGTTAGTTAGGGAGCCTTGCGACTTGGATCGACAGAGGCAGAGTGCCAGTCGAGCCTCTCGAGGTTGCCTTACTTAAGTCCCTGCCCCATCGGGGTTGCTCCCCACACCGTTGGCCAGGTCTAAGTGTTCGGTTTGAATCCAAGCCTAGTGAACGCCTTCTCTTCCATTTCCTTCTCTCCCATCGGTCTTCATCGGCTTCCAGCCCATCGAGAAGTGGATGCCAACTGCTGGGATCTCAGCATCAGCTTGCTTCAGCTACTTCCATTATTATGGTACAGTCCTGGCACCGAGGCTCATGACGAGGATCCTGAGGACATGCTGCCATCGCAGAGGACAAGCTGCCTTGCATAGTCAGTGAGCGTGTCATGTATCGCAACTTGCCGCTGCAGCAGTTGTGCTCGCTGTTGCCCTGCGTAATCTACTATAGTCGTGTTACAGCTGCTCTGTCTCTAGTCTAAGTCGTAGTAGGCCCCCCTGCAAGCCGGCAGATGTCGTCGATGTCGTGGAGTGACAGTGAGTCTGTGGGCTCGGACTGGGTTCTGGTTGACGATGAGGGTGCAAGTACTGCGGGCTCGGTCGCGGACAGTGCTGACGACGATGATTATGTGATTCCGTTCGACGAGATGCTAGAGGAGTCCTTTTCGACATTGTGGATGTTTCTGGATTCTAAAGAGCGTGGGCAAGTCTTTCGAGCAGCCTTCCATATCAATGAACAGATCATGTTCGTACTGTTTCCGAGACTTTTGCGGGATTTTAGGCAAGGCAGAGTGCCAGGAATTTTATATTTCAATGTGACAGACGAATGGCTGTCGTCACTGAATCAATGATTTGTCGTGTTTGTACAGCCTCCGCGACAGTATCACGGATCTTGGGGAAGGCAGAGTGCCGGGTTTGCGTGTGTTTAGGGGATTTTGAATTCGACGATCTAGCCAGCAGAGCTAGACTGTCCGATTTGAGACCTCAGCGGTAGTGTGCGCAACTTGGATTCAAAACGGTTACCCAGCATGACATGCTGACTACACAGTGCCGGGTGGCAGTGATGTCCTCAGGACCCTGCTGTCTCCGAGGCTGGCTGCCTGCCTGCATAGTCTGTCAGTGAGTTGACTTGCACCATACATGATCGACATCTGCCGGCCAGAGAATCAAGCGATTCATGCATACTGATGTAACAGTAGTAACAAAATGTTACATATCATTGATTAATGTACTATATAGTGATGCATTAGTCACTGTTAATGTTTTAATCGTTGGACAATTGTGTGCTCGATGAAAGCAGTGATGCCGACGACCTGCTCTGTCTCTAGTCTAAGTCGTAGTAGGCCCCCCTGCAAGCCGGCAGATGTCGTCGATGTCGTGCAGTGACAGTGAGTCTCTGGACTCGGACTGGATTCTGGTTGCCGATGAGCGTGCAAGCACTGTGGCCTCGATCATGGACAGTGACTACGATGATTATGTGATTTATTTCGACGCGCTGCTAGAGGAGTCCTTTTCGACATTGTGGTTCTTTCTGAATTCTGAAGAGCGTGGGCATGTCTTGCAAGTAGACTGGCATATCAATGATATGATCCTGCACGTACTCTTTCCGAGATTTATGCAGGATTACAGTGAAGGCAGAGTGCCAGGAATTTTATATTACAATGACGTGCGAGACGAAGCTCTGTCGTCAATGATGAATCAGTGATTCATCGTGTTTGTACAGCCTCCGAGACCGCATTACGGATGTTGGGGAAGGCAGAGTGCCGGGTTTGCGTGTGCTTAGAGGATTTTGAATTCGACGATCTAGCCAGCAGAGCTAGACTGTCCGATTGGAGACCTCAGCGGTAGTGTGCGCAACTTGGATTCCAAAAGGTTACCCAGCATGACATGCTGACTACACAGTGCCGGGTGGCAGTGACGTCCTCAGGACCCTGCTGTCTCCGAGGCTGGCTGCCTGCCTGCCTGCCTGCATAGTCTGTCAGTGAGTTGCCTTGCACCATACATGATCGACATCTGCCGGCCAGATAATCAAGTGATTCATTCATACTGATGTAACAGTAGTAACACAATGTTACATATCATTGGTTAATGTACTGTATAGTGATGCATTAGTCACTGTTAATGTTTTAATCGTTGGACAATTGGGTGCTCGAT